ATTCTCTATTAATTACTCTCTACGGTTCATGTGGTGACAAGACAGAATCAAATAGCATGGTACTTCTGACAGGCAGAAGCAACCGATCGTGAAATACTCTACACTTAAAATACTCTAATCCGAATAATATAAGATAATCAAACTGCAGATCAATCGTTCCCTCCGGACGGTGGAGAACCAATTATCGACACGCCATCGCGAGGACTCTGGACGGTCTTTTGCCCCCGAATAAAGCCTGGGGTTCTTAAGGGACTAGTTGGTCTCCAGTGTTGGGTCAAAGACCAAAAGGAGGTACTTTGAACCCCGCTGGAGACGATCGACAAGAGTACTTTTACATAAATAATATAATATAATAAATATGATAATAATAATAATAATAATCATCATAATAATAATTATAAATTAAACTAAATAAATACTATTTTATCTAAAATCAAAAAATAAATAAATCAAAACATCATATTATAATCCTTCCAGACCAAGAAAATAATAATCAAATAATCCCAGACTACTGCAAATGGACCCTCTCGTTGTTTCTCTTCCGACTCTCAAGGATTAACCCTGATCCTCGATATCATTTGGATATCGAGGTTACCGAATCGGGGGGAGCGTTCGACTGTCTGCCCCAGAGGAGGGGCGCTTGTTGTACTGAGATCCTAATCTCGATCCATCATTCTTCGTGCAGCTTCGCAGATTTGCCAAAAGTCCAGTCTTTCTCATTTTTCATTATTGTTTGGTGCATTTTCTCTGATCACCCTCATTTAACAGTTCCCCCCCCCCCCCTCGATCGTTGGTTTTTATAAAGACCTCATTCTTCCTTATCACTTGCAAACCACTCTTCTTTCTTCTTTCTTCTCCATCGTGATCAGACTTCTCTCCTGATACTTGGTGTTGAGGTTCTATAAAATCCTCCGTTCGATCTAGACCCGACTCCCTCTCTCCCCTTCTATCAATCTCCAGTGATACTATAATTATATCCTTCCCCCCCATCCCACTCGTTGGTCTACTTCTTCTCTCTCTTGTCCTCCAAGGCTTGTCCTATACACTCAACCCCCGTTGGTGTCACCATCCCAACCCCACTCTCGCCCACTACTACCTACCCTCTCCCCTCCCGTTTACTTTCCATCCCGAATTCAAACAAAGAAGTCACCCGCCAGGGCTTCTCATTCGCGCCCAACCCCGTTGTCTCTCAACCCTCCACTTAGTATCCATTTCAGTGTGCCATCTGCGGCTGCCAGCAGATTCTCCTGCAGCCTCACTCTTTGGATTCCCGCAAGCGCCGTCCTTGGTCTCTCCCCCAAGACTCTCGTGGCGCTCTGACCCTCACCACCCTTTCTACCTGTGAGTACGAACAGCCTATCCCCGGTGTACCATCCCGAGACATGTTGTTTGCTTTGCCTGGATGGGATTTGATGGCCGGGTCAGCCGAGTCGAGTGACCGCACAATGGCGGGGTGTTGGTTTGATCTGCATGTCTCAATCTGTTTATATCCTCCCCTCGCCCAGACGACCTCTTGCGCTCTCCACTCCCCCCCCCTGGTCAAGGATCTTCTTCTGCAATTTTCCAGAGTGGAACGAGAAGCTAACCCACGATTGTTGGCGTAGCCCTATCGCTGGTCCAGTAGCGGTGCGTTATTTGAAACCACTGGGCGTTCGTCCAAGGTCATTAGAAGAACAACAACTCTGCTGGTGTCTCGAACGAGTACAAATTACCAGCCCATCCTCACTGAAGACCTCACGGTTTTCTCTATGCTCTGCGCGTTCCACACGGCTCTGTCCTCAGCGCTATAGATCTATACAACCCTTCCGGTCTATATTCTCTTGCATACATAACCTCAATCGTCATGGTTCTCAGTGCGTCTGTCTCCACGACAGGGGCGGTCAAGAGACCCTCTTCTGCTCTGCAGGATGACTGTTTGGGCTGGGAGAATGCTCCGGTGAGTGAAGGTCCCATCCTCGGCGCTGCGCAGAGCTGACTCGAGGACCGCAATCAGCCCATGGGTGTCTCCACCTCTTCCTTCAACGTCCCTTATTCCCACTATGCCATGATCTACCTCGACAACATGGGTAAGCTCAAGGTGTCCGAGTCTGCTTCTATTCGGGAGCAGAATGGCACTGTCTTCTCGTCCGACGTGCGCACCAAGTTCCTGGAGATCCTGGGTGCAAAGGTCGGCTACCAGAAGCCTCTGATACGCCGTAAGTCTGACCCACACCCTCAAGCTGAACGCACCTACTCACCACGTCATATAGGATCCTCTGGCATGGGTGCATCTGAATATGGTTATGCTTACCCCAGCGACATGTCGCATTACCGACACGGCAAGCGCCGCAAGGCTTCCGCCCACGACCCGGCCCTGGAGATCTCTTTTACCGAACCCTTTTCGGATCCCGTGGAAGAGCTTCCCGCTTGCTCTGCCACCAACATGACAGGGCTCGAGATCGGCGACACCGAAAAGGTTCTGGAGTACTACGAGAACGCCCTCAAGCACTTCCAACAACTCAACTGCCGGCAAATCGCCAAAGCATTCATCAAGTTCATCGAGCCCCGGAAACAAGTCAAGCACCCGTACAACGGAGGTCGACCCCGGGCTGGCGCCCCTCCTGGCGAGAAAGGCGACCCAGAGAAGACCAAGCCCGAGTGGTGGCCTGCCGGTGTGGTCCACAAGGAGCCCGACCACCTCAAGAAAGACCGTAAGCATTTTGACCTCTTCTGTTTCAGAGTACACCACTGACAGCAACCCAGAGCGTATTCGCCTTTTGATTCACATTGTTCGCAAGCTGGGGCGGTTCAACATCACCCCCGATAAGCTCCAAGAGGTTGCGCACGACGCCAAGAGACAACTGAAGCCGAACAAGATGGAGGTTCTCGATGAGATCTTCCGCGTACGACGGTTGGAAGAGCGATACGAACGGGGCGAAGTCGGTATGTGTTTTAGTGACCCATCAGAACAAGAGCCAGAATTAACCCAATACCCCTAGATGCCACCACCATGGTCTACGTTCTCAACCGGGACACCAACGCCAAGGGCGACAAGGACTCGGACACAGTTAGCGAAGCGGATCAAAGAGCTGATATGGATGAGCTCGACGATGTCGATGATGGATTCTTGACGCCCTCCACATCGGCCGAGCAAACGACTTCATTCGCCTCCATGGACAGCATGGCCATGCCTAGCCAAGGCCGGTCAATGCACATGGGAGGTGACCGAAACCAAATGTTCCCGTACTCCGAGTCGCTCAGTTTTGGCGAGCAGCCCAGAACCGACCGATCATACTACCATGCCACCCCGGAGTACTCGGACGAGTACCCATCGCATCCGATGATTAAAGCGTCTCCCAACTCATCGCTGATTAGTCCCAACGAGGCTGCCTTTGATTATTTGGCCCCTCCCTTTCCCGCCTCCACGGCAGGGGAGCAGATGGTATCCTCGACCCGCCCGGTGTCCGTCCCCATGCAACATCCCGTGAGCCACTATGATGCCTGGACGCCATCTTACCGACAGAACGTCTTCAACCCCATGGGCTACGGTGCTGCCAACCAAACGCTGCACCAGCCTTCCATGTACCAAATGCCCATGACGTCCGCTTCCCACGCTTCAGACCTGCCAGCCGGGAACGGCCTTCCTGACATGCGCGGCGACAAGATCGAAGATCTCCACCCCAAGGGACCTTCCTTCCGCGGGGGCCATCTGGGCCACCCTCACATGATGGCGGCGCACCATCCCACCGCAGCCTAGGTGCAACCAACCCATTGACGACACTCCGGAAGGCATAGCGACCTGACCTTGAACGACGCGCATGATATGTATGACTGAGCGATAGACTTCATTATTTTGTCCACTAGCGGGAAGTTCTGCCTTATTCTCCAGAACCTGCCATCTTTTTTGCCGGGGCGCCCAGCGACTTAATCCACCTTGCGATGCATTAGCCCCTTCCCACCGCTATATATATATTGATCTATTTCTGTTTCTGTTTTGTTTTTGTTTCTTTTCTTTTTCTTTTTGTTTCCATGCTCTTCGATTCGACTATATATTTTTGCCCTCATATATATTGCACCTGTTGCACAAGAAAAAAAGAAGCCGGCGGTGATGGGCCCCCCCCCTGGACGGATGTATGCTGCTAATGTGTTGTTATGATTTGTTTATATTTCCTTTGTTTTGTTTGTTGAGCAATTGGGCGTGATTGATAGACGATGTCTTGTGGATAGTGGAGTAATTGTTAGATTCAAAATATAAATATTTATATATACTGCTTTCCTTAACCTTCTAATATTGCTCCTGTAGACAATGAATTTGAAAATTGAGCACCGGGAAATAATAGCCAGTGGAGTATATGACTGATATCCCTACAAGAAATGTCGTCGCCTCAGGTTGATGACCGGGCGGTCAAGACCAGCAATAATATGCAGTCTTGGCGCGCGGCAGCGGCGCTTGCGCTTCGCAGGACGAGGCCGGTCCGCTGACACAGCACAGCATCCCCAACTCAACAAACACCGGACAAAGAGCGACATATCTCCTCAATTCTCCGCAACTCTCGTGTCCGTGAATCGTGAAGGGACTGGATCGGTGTTCCATCCCATTGCTGAGCTACCCAAGCTACGGATCTATTCGTCCATCTACATTGCCCTCGCGTCTTCGACAGCTCTGCTCAGAGGGGAAGAGCTCTCCCCCACTCCATCGGCTCGAACGTTGCGGATCTGCCTTCAACACCGACGCTTCAGTCCATTGCAACCATCGATCGGAATCACCTTGTCGAGTCGCTTTCCAAATCCTTGAGAGGAACCCACAGAATCGGTAGCCAATACCTGCGCGCAAAGGTACCACGCCATCGTCCTTCCGTCGTCCCCATGCATACTCCATCGTTATTTCTCCCATCCTTTGTTCTATCTTCCGATGGCTCGCCTTCTGCTTCTACGGTGTCGCTTTCGCATCATCATGATATAGACTTTTGGGTTGATCACGTCCGCTGACTCTGTCGTTATCCTCCTGTCAACGCGATCCGAAAGACAGCCACTCTAGGATTCCTCAACCCACGTGCGCTGTTCTCGCCGCAAACTACCACTAATTACTCCATCGATACCTCTAAACGAAAAAGAAGAAAGAATCGGAAAACGCAAAAAGGACCAGCTCTGCTGGAAGGTACTCGGCATCGCCCGCGGATCTCGATCCCACTGCTGCGCGCAGCAGGATGGCCGGTCCGCCGAACCCATTTGCCGGCCTCGGCCAGAGAGACGGCGTGACGGGCTCAGCGGGTAGAGGGCGAGGAGGCGGTGGCGGCGGTGTGTTCGGGAAACCGGCGACGGCGCCCTTCCAGCCTACCAAGAACTCCAGCGCGCCGCGTGATCCTAGACCCCGCGGTCGGGGGCGAGGAGCGCCGGCCGCAAGAGCCGGTCGTGGCTATGGTCGAGGCGCGAGCTCAAATCCTACCTGGCGGAAGACGGAACCGAACACGGGAGCGCCTACGCCCGCCGCGTCGTCGCCTTTCGCCCAGCTGAAGCAGAACCCGCCGTCCGAGTCGCCCTTTGCGGCTGTTCAGAATGCACAGCAGACGCCCACGTTTTCGCCTTTTGGGAAGGCTTCGCCTTCGCCTGGACCTGGACCTACGCCTGCGCCGTTTGTGACCCCCGCGGCCGGTAGTGCGACTTCAGTCGATTCGAGTCGAGATCCCCGGAGACAATCTGCGATGCAGGTGAATGGGAACACGAAGTCCGGCATTCTTGTGGAAGATGGTGCTGTGCTGAATAGCTATCATGAACGTTATGAGAAGGTCAGTGACGGAGGCTCCATACAATTTTGGAAGCAGGAGGATCTCTAATATTCCTACAGCTTAAACAATCCCGGGCGAAGGAAAGAGAAAAAGCGATCAGGGAAGGCCAGATGGCGGACCCCAACCAGCCGACCTCCTTAAACCAAGCCATCACCCCCGTCGGGACTTGCACAAGCATGTGCCCGGAGTTTGAACGCGTCGAACGTATTGTTCAGAAGATGGTGGATAAAAGCGAGAAGGTATTGAAGACTAGAATCCCGGCGCTAGACCCGAAGCTCACACATCATAGTATCTTCATCCTGCGACAAATTCGCTTCAGAACATGGAGCTGAAAATGCTCAAGCGCTTTAGGCGATCAGCTGCCGGATATGACGAACAACTCCCGTCTGATATTCGAACTCCCATGACGCTGCTACAAACAATGAACTATTTGACTCGGCATGTCCTTGGTGGCCCGGAACCTCTAGGGGTTATCCATAAGTTTGTGTGGGACCGGACGCGCTCCATTCGCAATGACTTCTCGGTACAGCAGGTCACGCTGGAAGACGATGTGCGGATAGCTGTGACATGTCTTGAACGGATCGCCCGTTTCCACATATCCTCTCTTCACTTACTCTCTAGCCCGGCAAATGAGGAGCCTTTCGACCGCCACCAGGAACGCGAGCAATTGAACAACACCATGTTGTCGCTTATGTATTACTATGACGACAACCGCGGTCGAATTTCGTTCGAGCATGAAGACGAGTTTCGAGCTTACTACATCATCTTTGCGATTCACGACCAGCGACCAGACTTGGAAGCGCGTGTCCAGAAATGGCCGGCCGAACTGCGCAGATCACCTCGGGTGCAGGTAGCTCTAGAGTTACTTGCCGCTGCCGGAAACACGTGGGAATACCAAGGTACTCTGGATGCCAAGCGGCCGAACGCTATTGCACAGGGATTCTATGCTCGCTTCTTCGAGCTGATAGATTCCCCGGCCGTGTCGTACCTGATGGCATGCGTTGCGGAGATTTACTTCAACCACGTTCGCCAGACCGCCATCCGATCGATTTGGAAGGGCTACTGTCGCTACCCTGCGTCCCAACAGCACAAAAACGAAGAATGGACGGTCGACGAGTTGACAACCGTGCTGTGCTTCGACGATGACAACCAGACGATCCAGTTTTGCGAAGAACAGGACCTAGGATTCGCCGAGAATGCCAGTGGCAATCTATATCTCAATTGGGGAAACCGCCCTATTGATTCAATTGGTACGTATATATCTCGGCTTCGCGATCGCTCAAGTGGACTCGACCTCCGCATCTCCCGAACAACGAGAGGCCTCCGTCGATATCTCTCCCAGCAATGTTGGTTTCATCAACTTACTAATTGAACCAATAGCCTTCCAACCCTCCTCAGAGCATTCCTTCTCCCAGAAACTCGTCGAGTCGAAGCGCGCAGGCAGGTCAATGGCTGCGATCATTCTTGGATTGAATATCAAGGACGCCGCAAGTCTAGGAATGGTCGATCGCTCCCTGCTATCACAGCGCGTGCAAAGGCCTTTGACCGGTCCCGATTTCGAGAGCAACGACTCCCTTTTCGTGAGCGACGACGACAACGAGACCCCTGCTCCGACTTATCAAACAAATGGGATCTTTGGACAAGACGAACCCGCCAGACCCGCGCCGAGCTTTCCAGGTCCATTCGGGGGCTTTTCGCAACCAACAGATAGCTCGACGACAAACCAGACACCGGGTTCGATTTTTTCGGCACCAAAGGCTCCCGAGCCAAGTTCATTGTTTCCCCCCGCCGCGCCGACAACTGCCCCTTCGCCATTTGGGGGCTCCTCTCCTTTTGGCGCCCCACAAGCACCGGCGTCCAAGCCTGCGGAGACGAAACCGCTGTTTCCAACACCTGCCTCGCAACCTACTAATTCAATCTTCTCTACAAATGCGGGAAATGTAGAGCCTGCTCCTTCTCCTGCTCCTGCGCCGTCACCCTTCAAATCGCCTAGTCCCTTTCAGCAACCCGCGCCGTCGAGTTCACCTTTCGGGGTGCCAGCGCCGCCTACGAGCGTGTTCCCCTCTGCATCTACGGCAAAGGCAGAGCCTAGTACGGCTTCTGCACCGTCAAGTTCACCGTTCGGTATACCGGCGCCCTCTACAAGCGTGTTCCCCCCCGCTTCCACGACAAAAGCAGAGCCTACTACAGCTCCCGCATCCTCACTCTTCAAGTTCCCAAGTCCCTCTCAGCAGGATACGGTGCCAGCGACTTCCCCATTCGGGGTCCCCTCAACCACGAATAATGCGTCCTCATCCGCAACGACCAAGGCAGAACCTGCCCCAGTTCCTATGGAATCGCCACTCAAATCGCCGAGTCCGTTCCCGTCAAGTACGCCGTCATCACCGTTTGGGTTCCCAGAAACCTCGGCCGGCACTGAGCTTGGGCAGTCATCCGGGTCGGCTGCAGGCAAACCTTCCACCAGCATCTTCGACGCGCCGAAAGCTCCCACTTTTCCATCAAGCTCAACCTCTATCTTTGGTCTTCCTGGATCTACCGCACCAAGTAGCACTGATGTCCAGCCTGGCGAGGCTGCAAGCCCAGCTTCAGCGCCAGCCAAACAAGGTATGGTCCTTAGCTGCATTGGATTCCATTCGTCATCTAACGGTTATTAGACACACCCTCTATATTCTCATCGTCTCAACCGGCCCCCAGCTTAGGCAACATTTTCGAAAAACCTGCCACTACGGGGCATGAGAATGGGCAGAATAACTCAAAGACACCGTCTATCACTGCGTCACAATCAGCGCCCGGGGGTTTGAACAATATCTTAAAGCAACCTGCTCAGCCGGAAAAGCCTTCACCCGAAATCTTCAAATCTCCGTCGATGCCGTCTTTTGGGCAAGAGAAGGTTTCTCCGCCTGCGCAGACAACACAAGGTGTGCATCAGCCATTCTCACAGCCGGCAGTTTCTCCTGTGACAGAGAAGGGCACCGAAGAAAGGGAAATTGGCGTATCGACACCAGGGCAATCTGCAGAAGCCAATACAGCCGATCAAGAAGAAGTCGTGCCAGCTTCTCCTGAGCCAACTCGTAAGTTTGAACGTCACAAGTGATATGGTTTCAAAGTACTGACAATCCTAGCAATTGACGTAGCCGAGCGACGTGTCGCATGGATCGAAGCTTTGAAAGAAGCCGCCGATAGGCGACGACACCCTTCCTCATCCTCATCGAGTCGCAAGCGAGGCCACGAGGATCAAGAACCCGCCCCGGAAGACAGTGGCTCCAAACCGCCGAAAGCTTCAAAAGCCGAGGTGCCCGTCCCACGCAAGACGTCCATGGCACTATCCTCCATCAAGCCGCTGCCGAAGCTTCCCATCCTGGAACGCATCGAAGCGATGACGGCACGCAAACCGGAGAAGAAAGAGCCCCCGCCGCCAAAGCCGCACCAAGTCGACGAAGACGAGATGCTTCTGTCCGCGGCGCGCATTGCAGCCGAATCATTACGGAGCGGACCGAAGCTGCTCGACCACCACTACTACTCTGCCCCGTACGAGCCACGGCGTTCCTCGTTCAGTCCGGGAAGCAGCCTTTCCTCGATGCAGTCTTTTTCTCGCAGCCAGTCGCCCAATTCAGCCTCTCAGGTCAACGGGTACGATCTGGCTCTTGCGCCTGACACGGATCTCGGACTCGGTCGTACGCTGTCTCGAACTGAACAGAGACTCCGAATGACCGGTGGCCGAGGCTTAGCTTATAAGCCTTTGGATTTTACTCCGGATAAGAAGCGGAAGAGCAGGTAGTGCTTACTGCACCCCTCTCCAACTTTGATTTGAGATTCATATTATGCTTTTGTTTGTTTTTATGCGTGTGGCATACCATGGGATGCAACATGGGTGCTGGTGTTAGGGTTGTATCATATGCATTGGCGGAGGCGTTTGTTTGTTTATTGGGTTGGTGTTCAGGGATCTTTGAGCGTTTAGTGTCATATTTGATTGAGCATAAGATTCCCATGATCTATAAAATAGTATTGTTCCATGAGCAACTATTCATCAACTCGTCTATTTCAGCACCATATAGAGGAGAGAACATCTCGTGTAGTGCGTATGGAGTATGTAGTAAGTCCAAGGTTACCTGCCTCAGGTATCAATCAACATCACATGATACCCCCCTCAATCCACCAATCAGGACCAGATTCTTTCCTCTCCAAACATCCCTCCATCAAACTTATCTTATACTTCATCCATCCATCCATATACACAAACCCGACCCAACAACTTATAAATACAAGACAAGGCCACCCAAGGCAACAGCCAAAATAGCTTCCCCCACTCTCCCCAAGCCGTTCCATCTCGGCCCATCCATCACCCGCATAAGACAACAAGCACGCACATCAATCCCGCCGCGTGGGATACTATCCCAGGCATTTCTATATCCCGTTCGCCACAGTCCAGCACCAGCACCACGAACGCTCGGTGCTAGTAATAAAGCCCGCTCTTGGGGAATTCCTCAAGCGCGCTCCTTTACCCCCAATCCCGCTCGCGCACTCCATCAAAACCATCCCCAGCAGCACCAGCACCAGCAACAACAGCGCGGAATGAAAATCGCAACGCTACAGTTCGCGCCGCGGCTGGGCGACGTGGAGGGGAATATCCGCCGGGCTGATGAGTTGCTAGACGGGTTGGAGAGGAAGGCGGATCTGTTGGTTTTGCCGGAGATGGCGCTTACTGGTTTGTTTTACTTTCTTTCTTCTTTCGCTCTTTATTTGGATTTGGTTTATTATTATTATTCTATGTATGGTTGGTTGATTGGTTTATCATATTGTTGTTGGAGTCGTCTGGATAAACTGCACAAACAAGGGGAAAAGAGTACCAAGCTGACCTCACCAGGATACAACTTCCCCTCGGCAGACGCCATCCGACCCTACGTGGAACACGTCGGACAAGGCCGCTCAGCCGATTGGGCGCGCAAGACCGCCAAAAAGCACGGGTGTAAAGTATGCGTGGGGTATCCCGAAGTCGAAAAGACCATCGCATCTAGCGAGTCAACCACGACAACCGAAACGTACTACAACTCCCTGGTGGTGATTGACCCACACGGGTCTGTCCTCGTCAACTACCGCAAGACATTCCTCTACATGGCTGACGAGCCGTGGGCGGCTGAAGGCGACGCGGGGCGGAGTTTCCAGAGGTTGCGGTTTGGGGGTGAGGACGCGCAAAAGGAGAAAGAAATAGCGACATCGTTTGGAATCTGCATGGACATCAACCCGTACAAATTCGAAGCGCCGTTTACAGCGTTTGAGTTTGCTAGGCGGGTCGTCGACTCACAGACCCAGCTGGTCGTGCTATCCATGGCGTGGACTACGATGTTACCTGCGGAGGAGCTGCGCGCGCTGGGGGCCCAGCCCGATCTGGATACATTCAACTACTGGATTCAGAGGTTTATGCCGCTTATCCGGGAAAAGATGGCGCATGGGGCGGACGTGGATGGGAATGGGGATGGGACTGGGGACGAGGGGGCTGAGAAGAGGGTTGTGCTGGTTTTTGCGAATCGGTGCGGAGAGGATCCTGCTGCTGTTGAGGGGGAGGAGCCGGTAAGGTATGCGGGTGGGAGTACGATTATTGCTGTTTCGCAGAGGAGGCGGCGGGGGCTGGCTGCTTTGGTGGGTGGGGATGATGGGTCGGATTTGGATGTGAAGATTCTGTGCTGGGGGATGATGGGCGCTGCGAACGAGGGGATCTGCTTTGCGGATACGGAGGCTGATCCTGAGATGGTGTTTGCGTTGGTGAAGCCGGGGGGTGATTAGTAGGTGGAAAATGTGGTTTCAATTCGATATGGATTTATAAATGATACTATCATTTCGGCAGTCTTGTACAGATACTTTGGCACCTAGCATAGAAGAGTTATTATTCTACCTATCCCTACAACCACCACCACCATTACATTCATCCATCTATCGCCCACCTGTCTGTAATGTATTCCATTCATCTCAATGACCACCGGAATGATTAATCCTAACTTATCATGTGAGCACGAAAACCCCCCTGTTTCATGTGACAAGGCATCACAACCACCAAACAAGCCATTCCTCGCAAAAAAACAAGGTTCATCACGACTTTCCCCGGTAGCTTATCCATTCCACAGGATGGAATGTGTAATGTGTGTGCGTGTGTATATGTAGGTGTGGTGTAGGTGTGGTGTATGCAAGCATGCATGCAAGAAACATGCATGACATGCAGTGGAGACGCCCCCCCCCTCCCGGTCTCATGACCTGTGTATCTCACCAGTGATGGGAATCGGATCAGGATCGAATCAGCGTGGTGTACGTAAAAGTGTGGATTCAGACTGGAACTGGAACAGGGAAGCGGATTGTCAAGGGGGTGGAGATGGAGTTTCTGGTAAGAAAGAGGTGAGGGTGTGAAGGCAAAAGGAAGATGATGTGGGTATGTATGGAGGAGAGACACATGTGACACGAGGTCAGATGAAGATGCGGCTAGACCGGTGGTGGGGAGGACTTTGCTTTATGATTATTGAAGACTGTAGGTAGGTGGCTATTAAACAAAGATAGGTAGTATTTATAGTTTGGGCTTTTATTGGTGGGGAGTAGAGGCGAACCTGATGGTTTCTGTCTAGCTAGACTACTGATACTTGGCTACCGGACTGATACTACAACCCTAACTACGAAGGTGTCAAGCATGGAATATCCACGGGTTAATGAATGAAGCTTTCCTAGGTTGGGAGTTAGGAATAGAGCGGTGAACAAAGATATCATATGATAAGACTGAAGAAGCACAAGTCTACCATGCACGACTTCTAGTGTGTATTAGATTGAGAAGAGCAAAGGATTGATGAGCAGAATCCCTGTAGGATCATGGGTTCATTTGGCGCTACTAATCCAGACCTATGAATGACTGGCGTATTATCTCATACGTGCGGGGTGATCGACACAAGCAAGCCTGTCGGATTAGTTGACGATGTACTCGTGGAGCTGGCGCAAGTTCTAACAAGATGGGGGTTGTTTTATGATATCCTGTTTTCTAGGGTCACTTCGAGAGACAGATCTGGGAAAGGGCCTGTGTCTCTAACGAGACTGAGCCCTTGGCTAGTAGAGACTTGTTTGCATTCGAGACACCGACTCACTGTTCTGTTCGAAGTAAAGATGTGTCGAGGATTGGACTGTGTTGACCAACGCTCTTCTTTCCAATCGAGATGTCGAGTGGACTATCCCTCAGCATAAATATTGATGGGTATACCCCGATGACAGCTGCAGTGGGGGTTGGGAGCTCCAAACCAGCCACGTACAATAGCCGGCGAGAATCCGATCTCATATGCCAATGTCAACACGCACGTTGAGAGTGAGTGACATAACGGGACCAACCACAAACAGGTTCCTGGCACCATCTTCCGAGACCTTCTTGAAAGATGACTTAGAGACACTCATTACACTTCTCGCCATGTCAATCATCTCGGGACAGGCTGCGCTGTTCTCGTGATCCAGCTGCCATGACCTTCACCAGTAGGAGTGGAGCGGATGGTAAAGTCGAACCAGGAGAATCTGCATCGTCAAGTGTGGTCGCTTGACAGGTTGCTGAGCTATCCCCTTGACAGGTGGAACTTGTGTCTCTGGCTGTTTCATGTTTGCAAGTCGCTGAGCCTAGAATACTGGACGCCAGTCATTGTTCGACGTGGCCTGGCGTGTGTCGAGACCCTCCATAAGAGCATCTCGATGTTATAGACCTATCTCTGTAGTGCTAGACGAATGATGCAGTCGACGAGGAAAGCTAGAATCAACTGAAGATGTGGAATATCACAAAGGTACTTCTTCATATACACGGTCTCATCACGTGCCGTATACACGTGACGAATGCGATTCAGGAGCGGAGAAGACAGGTCCACGTGACACCAGGAACCCCTCCTCCGGCATCCGGGCAGCCAATCATCCGTCAGGACGAGCAGTTTGGTGGAAGGAGGGGGCACGGGGTGGCTGCACATGACATCGCCTGAATGGTTTGGAGGGGGGAGGACAGAGGAGAAGAGGGTTTGAAAAGAATAAAGCGAGTGACCATGAAAAAGGACGAGAGAAGAAGAAACCTCAGAGGAAGACGAGAGAAGGGGAAGAAGTATTCCGTATATCAGCTGGTAATCGTAGTGACGATTACTAAGACATCAGGTGACTGCGCATCCGGTCCCTTCAGGCCGCCCCAGGCATGAACTTCGGCCTCGTCGCCTGCCCGTCGCCCACGTGAGTTCCTCTCTCTCTCTCTCTCTTCTACTTACTACTTCCTCACCTGTTTATCCCTACGTTCCCCTCTACAATCCTCCACGACGCTTTCTTCCCGTTCAAATCCTGGCTGCTCGCTGTTTTCGCTCCTATTCTTTCCCCTGATATTCTTTCGGTCCGGTGGAAATTGGTTGTTCTTGTTTTCTGCTTGAAATCGTGAATCTCCCATCCTCTTGTTGTTGCCCGTGGCAGGTGACTTGCTGTCAGGTGATAGAGATCCATCCATCTCTCACCCTTCAAGGTACGTGACGTTCCTTTCACTTTCCCTTCCTTCCGACTTCATCGCGCTTTCATTCCCCATCCTTCCGTTTCGTCCCTTTGAATTTCTCTCTCTTCTCTTCCCCTATCCCCCCATCCGTGCTGCCAGATGGCTTCGGTCCACACCCAGAGCCGACGTCTTCCGTCGTGAGCCGGTCGGGCGCGGTCGCTGCTTGCTCGCGACGCCGGCTCTGCTCCCTCGGTTACATCTATTGCTGAGTTGCCATGACGCGTTTCCGGTGTGCAACCGACTGCTAGGGTCGTCCTACCTGTCTTGAGCTCATCCGGGACCCCTGTCATGGCCTTTGCGATGGTTCAGGAGCTATCCTGGTGTGTGGGGAGATGTTTTGGGTGGCCTGGAGCGGGCGCTCCCTTCCCCCCAATGATGTTTTGGTGCTGAATGCGGAGAGCTGAGCGCGTCGGCCCAACGCGTCTACCATACATTGAACCAAAACAAACTCCCACTTTGCCCTCTGCATGGCTGAATGAATGGTTGGTGCTTGCAATGGAATTCAACTCGCTCATATTGCCCCATTTGTAAATATTTTTTTTCTCCTGACCCCGAATGTCTGGGCTGCGTTCCCCTGGTCTTTTTCGTGCTCCCGAAGCTCCCTCATGGCCCGAGTTCTTTTCGCACTTCTCCATGGACCGCTCGCTCACTTTTCGACGTTCCTCCATTTCCACACGCACCCCCGCAGATGGCTGACTTGCATGCAGCTCACAGATAGTCGCAGTCTGTGATATCTCTACCCCAGTCGAGTTCTGCCTTGCTCAGGTAACGCGTCTCCAGTCGCAGTGTTGTGGTCCCCAGTGACTGATGTAATGTAGCAGGGTAGCAACTCCAAGCATTTTCGTCATGTCGGATCCTTCAGTGGGCGCGTCGGATGGCAATGTCTCCAACAAGCGCAAGCGTGATAGCACCGACAGTACCGGTCCCGAAAACCCGCGCCCGCACCGTTCGTCGCACGGAAGCAATGGCAGCATCCCCGGCGACACCCAGTCGAATTTCCCCCACGGCTCCCTGGGTTCTTACGACACTCATGGTCTCCCCAACACCACATCCGAGTTGAACATCGACCAGCAGATCCTCCAGCACGTGGGGACCCAGAACGGCATCTCCGACGAGAACGCCTTGACCGCGAAGGCGGCTTTGGCGGCACACAACCCGCAGGCGAAATATCCCGGGCCCCCCGACTCCGCGTTCGACAACAACCTTACCCACGGCCTGACCTTTGGGGATGATATGGGCCAGATTGGTGGCGCCCATGGCCACAACTCCACCGCGGCCGCCGTCTACGCGGCGCGCGAAGCCCAAAGCATGAACCAGAAGCCGTCCGTGGGATCGCCCGAGTGGCATCAGATCCGCAAAAATAACCACAAAGAAGGTCCGTGCATGCACTCTTCGTCTTCCTTCCATAGCTAACCGGGATCAGTGGAACGCCGTCGTCGTGAAGCGATCAACGAGGGCATCAACCAGATCGCCCGTCTAGTGCCCAACTGCGATAAGAACAAGGGAGCCATCCTGCAACGCGCGTGCGAATACATCGAGCAGATTCACGGGGAGAAGCAGGCCATGGCCCAACGCTGGGAGCACACCAACATGACCACGACGCAAGCCATCAATGAGATTAGCTCGCAGAATTCCAAATTGAAGATCGAGGTGAACCGACGCGGCGAGATCGCGCAGAAGTGGCTGCAGCGGTGTCGCGACGCGGGCCTGGAGTTCGATGACTACGAAGAGTCCAAAGAACTGGAACCGCTGGATGTCGACCAGAACCAGGGCTGAATTCTTTTTTTCCTGCTTTCTTCGCCAGCGGTGTCTCGCGTTATGGTTTTCTTACGTGTGCTACGACTTCTTTTTTTCGGAGGCAGTGATTCCCTGTGGTTGCATGCTGATTTCGTCTTTTCTTTTTTTCCCGTTTCGGTCTGGATTTCCCAATCTTCCCTCCGTGAACAAATTTCCTCAATCTTCTGCTGTCACCTAAGGTACCCGTGACCGGTTCGCCCGGGTCAGCGAGCCCCCGTGGCTTTGATACTGAGTTTACTAACCTGGGTCGGTCATCTCCTTTCATGTTTTCATTGCGGTCTACCCTCTGCTGTCTTTAATTTTCGCTTCTTTCTGTATGCTATCTTAGTATGGGTCGGCGAATTCGGGCTGGGAGTGATAATTAGGCGTGCCTCGATCCGGTGCAATGGATGAGTTCAACTGCTAATTGTGGTGTATTACGTTTGCATAACATGGCCAGTCGTAAGCTACTGTAGTGCTTTATTGGCGCGTAGATCAGGTCTGCAACAAACCAACAAGATGCATAATGTAAATTCAATAAAATAAAGCCATAAGCAAACAAACGAATGAAAGGCACGAAAGAAACGAAGTAAAAAAAAGGCCTGACCAAAGATCCCTACACTCCGACCCTCTCCCCCTCTCCCTCTCCCTCACAAACCATCAATATCAAACACAACACAACCCAAAGCGATCAACTCAACTCAGCTCAACCAACCCGCTCACTCACTCAACCAATCAAATAAAAAAAAGAGTATAAAGAAAGATCACTTCGAATCCCACATAACCTCATTCAACCTCAACAACGCATCCGCACTAGCCTTCCTCGCCGCCATAAAATCCTCCCTATTCTCAGCACCATGCGGGCCCCGCAGCGTCTCCGAGAAGCACAAATCAACCAGAATCTTCAGCTCCTCGTAGGAGAAAGGCTCGCCGTTGCCGGCCGCGAGGGCCGCGTCGAGGTTCGCCGCGAAGGCGTCTTTCTCTTCTTTGGCGTAGTCGAGGGCTTGTTCGGCGCCTTCGAGGAACCAGTCTAAGAACTTGGCGCTGCGCGGGAGGGCGATTGTTTCTGGGTGGGAGGAGGAGGGGGAGGGGTCGATGATGATGTTTTTGAGGTTTTGTTGGAGGACGAGGACGTCGAGTTGGAGGCGGAGGGCGCCGTTTTCGTTCATGGCGCCGATGTGGCGCGTGCGGGAGACGAAGGTCTGGTCGATGAAGCGGGCGAGGCCGGATTTGATGAACCAGGATTCTTTGGAGCCGAGGTAGGAGGTGATGTTTGTGTCGAAGGCGATGAGGTCGTTGTTGAGTTCGAGGACGGTGGGCGAGGCCGCTGTGGGCTGGCTGGCGATGATGTGCCACCAGGCTGTGTTGGGGTCGGGGGAGGGCGTCGAGGGCTCGGAGTAGCGGATGTTGGGCGGGTTGGGGCCCGTCATGGTGCGCGTTAGCATGTGGATGATGCCGCAGCGGATGTCGATGTGGAGCGCGAAGAGAGCCGTCGAGGCGAGGTTGCGTAGGGATTCGAGGGTATTGTCGAATCCGTTGGCTGTTTCTTGGTTGAGGGGCAGGTAGACGGGCTGGTTGATGCTGTCGCGCCTGGGCTTCATCGCGCAGATTAGGGTCCATCGTCGACGGGTTGGCCTGGCATCGGAGGACTGCAGGTCGACTAGCGGGTCTGGGTTTTGGCGCAGTTTCGCGAGGTTACTTGCGAGCCATTGCTGTTTGAGTCAGCTAAGTCATTCAGAGTGAGTCCAGTGGCTTGGGGGGGCTAACCATGCTGTTATACAGAAGTGATAGAGACACTACCGACTTAGGGTCCGATATGATGTCGAACGGTTCAAGAGGCACCTCGTCGGTGCGTTGAAGGAGGAGGTCGGTTTCCTGATGCGGTCAGCTGGTTCTTCGGTCTGTGTTCACCTCAATGGACACCTACCGTATCGATGGAAATCTGTTTATTGGCGGCCTTCTCCTCCCATAGGTCGCGCACCACATCGTGAATCTCCCCCGAATCAGCAAATTGGGCTGCCGCTTTGAGTCGGACCGTCCGGCTATCCCGTGGAGAAAGCTTGGTCACGATCACTGCATAATCATTAGAACTGATCCCAGAAATTGTTTTATTCGTTTCTGCTCACCTTTGTACCACCCGAAGCACTTATCATAGTAGGTCATGATTTGGGTGATCAGAAGCTGCGAGAAAGCCTGATCGTGAGGGATACTAGACAGTATTTTACTGAACTCCTTGATGATCGACATGAACTTGATAGTTCCCTTGAAGACTGGCCGTGGCGACACCGTCGACCACTGGGCATCCTCCGTGAACGCATCCGCCTCAATAAAACAGAGCGTGCAAAGATCGGTAACAGTCTCGTCCAGCTGAGGAAGGAAGACATTAACAAGGAAGTCATCCAAAAACGACGTCAGCGAGCTCGTCGCAATCTCGGAGTCCATCGGCACGATCTCCTTGAGCCGCTGGATGAACGAAAGCGACGGCGGAAGCAGGATGCTCATGTTGAACACGCTGGGCTCGATGAGAATCTTGTGCCCGGTGCCGGAGTTCCCTTGCCGGTTATCAGACGCTTCTTGAGATGTGTGTTTTCCTCGAGACTTGGAGACTAAGCCGGGGACGGAAGATCTGAGAATCTCGTCTAGTTCGTCTTGCTCGGCCTTCATCTGCGTTGTTCGATCGGCGTCGGATAGTTTGAACATTTTCTATTGCTTGTTAGCGAACGTTTTTTCCCAAACAGCAACCATGACGCACCTTGCTCTTATCCCTGTTGCCAGAGTAGAGTTGACGCATGTTGTCGTAGTCGTCGGTCGAGGGCTGAACCGAAGTTTCGCCATCGGTGGCCAAGTAGTCATGCATGAGAGACCGAATCTGCAGATACATAAGTAGATGTATGCTAGTAAATTTGATGATCGAACGTACCTCGCTCTGATAAAGCTTCCAGACCTCCTTGAAACCACCAGCGAGGGAACTGCTCTTGGGGATTCCCTCGCGCTCCATGATCGCAGCAACCACATCGTGAACAACACGGTGCCCTTCGGCAATGGCTTCGAACTTGGCGTACAATGTCCACAGGAACTCCGACAAGACATGACCGCGCTTTTCAATCGCCTCCGTCGGCATTGCCTTGCTATCTAGGGGGGTAAGGCCACGGGTCAGATTCGGATATCGCGTATCGATTTCGGCATTGGTCTTGTCCACCACTGTGAACAGCTCGACCGGCAGTCGCTGCTCAATCCTGTCAACTGCGATGTCCAAATGTCCCATATTGTTTAGTGACTCGATCAGAAGCTGGATGTAGTAGAATGTGTCCGCCTCTGGGTTTCGAGAAGCATCCTCCACCATCGGGGCGGAACCATCCATTTTCGCGAGAAAGCGGTAGACGGGCCTTTCCCACGTGGTCGTTCCAGTCCAGTTCGGGGGGTTGGACGGATTAGGTTCTCCATCAGCGGCTGGGGGCTTCCACCGGTTCGCACAGTAGGGGGATTTCAGGAACAAATGGTCGTGCAGTTCTTCGATCAGAATGTCGGTAAGGGATGTCTCTTGGTTTGCGAAGTAAGCACGAATATCGGCCAGGGCGCCGATGTTCTCCAGTTCTGATCGACGTAGCAGCCGTAGACCATCATGCAACACCTCGACGGCGGAAATGAACCGTTTGTCGGAGATAAGGGACTCCAGCTTCTCCGGCAACGATTGAATTTCTTGGATCTGGTTGAATAGCTGGATGATATCATCGTAGTTCTGGGACGAGGTTGCCAGCCCTTTGAGCTCGGGCTTGGTCGCAATCAACCCGGATTTGGAGTTTTCCAGCGCGTATTTCAGACTCCGCAGTCGGCTCTGCGAGCTTTGGATGCTCGACTGAATCTTGTGATATGTACCAATGGAGCTATTAAAGCCCTGATGGTGTTCTATGCCGCGTTAGTACCAGCTCCCAAATAACGACAAGTGTGGGACCGACCATTGACAACCGCTTTCAAGGTCTTTTGGATCTGCTCATGAACATCGAGGAAGTCGGCCTCTCGATCCGCTTTCCCCAGTGTACTTGTATCCATCAATTGCAAGGCTACCTGAGCCGGAAGACAGTCATCAGACGCCATGAAATCCCACTCATTCTGAATCGATTGGATGACATCTACACCAAATCCACACGTATATTAGCCACTGCCACAGCAAATAACCAACGACACCCAACAACAAAAACTAGAATCCAAAAAGGAAACAATCGAACCTTCAACAGCCTGCGACCCAAGCGCACTAACGGCACTGAAATTCCTCTCCCGAGCAACACGGGGATCCAACAGGCCCGGATCCAGTTGCGGCACCTGTGGTGGCACTTGCTGCTGTTGCTGCTGCTGCTGTGGAGGAACCTGCCAACCATCCCGCGAGCCCATCTGCCTCCTACTCGCCTCCGGTTCTCGCGTCCGCGATCGCGACGACGAGTACTCTCTCTCCCTCTCCCATCGTTCCCGTCGCGGGTCGGTGGGCGGAGGAGACTGAGACGGCGACGGACTCGGCGACAGACTCGGTTGCTGCGACGGCTCTGGGTAGAAGCCACCGTAGCCTCCTGGGCGCCCCTCGCGCTGTCGCCCACTACCACCACCGCCTCCACCACCTCCTCCGCCGCCGCCGCCGCCGCTGTATCCGTTTACGCCCAGGTTATTGCCGCCGCTGTATCCACCATCACTGCGGTCGTATCGACTGGAGTCGGAGTATCCGTATCCGTTGGCGTAGCCCCCTCTGCCGCTCATAACAGATGTGTCGATGTTGATCGGGGTGTGTAAGGAAGTATCGAGACCGAAGGGGGGGGATATGCGGGGAGCCGGGCCGTTCGGGGATTCTGGGAGGTCTAGGCACTGATGGTGTTTGTTCGGAGGGAAAGGACAAGGAGCATGATCGGACCTCAAGATGCGAGGGTAATTCTCCGAGAATGGGGTGTATTAGAGCTAATGCAGAGTCCGCAAGGGGGTGTTGTTGGTTCAGAGCAGTGATAAGCTACCGGGTG